AAGAAGACAACGAAGAAGAGGGACGAGAAGAAGAAGAGGAGGAGGAGGAGGAGGAAGAGGAAGAAGAACTCGAGCCGATGGCTAGGAGAGGAGGACTAGAAGATGAGGAGGAGGAGGTAGAAGAAGAAGAAGAAGAAGAAGAAGAAGAAGAAGAAGAAGAAGAAGAAGAAGCGGAGGATGGCTGTGGCTAACGGGCGAGGAGAGTGACCACGAAGAAGAAGAAGAAGAAGAAGAAGAAGAAGAAGAAGAAGAAGAAACAGAAGAAGAAACAAACCTGGGGGGCGTGATGGAGTGGCTCGTTGGCGGGGGGGCGTGATGGCGTGGCTGGCTGGCGGAGGCGACGATGGCGATGCTGCACCCCGCGGAGACCTACAGACGATGGTGCCGCTGCACCGAGTGATGGAGCGGCTGGTTGGCGGTGGCGATGATGGCACGACCGGCTGTCGGAGGCGACGATGGAGTGGAGCGGCTGCACAGACCAGAGGTGAGCGGGGTTGAACGCGCGATGCGTTTTCCCCCGCTGCATGATCGGTTTCCCACCACATCGAATTCAAAAAAGTGGCCGATCTTTGCCGCTGATCTGCGACGATCGGCGGCCAAGATTGGCCACTTTTTGGAGTCCGAAAACGCGGGCCTACACGACCTGGTTTCGTTATTGCGGGGCAGCGCCCGCCCCCACGAGGCCTCCTTCACATGTTCGCGCCGCCAAAAAAAATAATTCAGGCCCCAGCAAAAATGCGCTGGGGGCGACCGGTAGGGAACCGGCCCAGGCCACCGGCCGGTCCTCTCGGGAGGACCGCGGATGGGGTAGGGGTCCCTGGTCCATCCGGGGACCAGCCCTGTTACAGACTCAAAAAAGGGCTCAACGGAAAGGTACCTATCTGTATGTATCTCGAACTCTCACTTCACAAAGCATAAGGAAAAACAAAATTGACATCCAAATTCTGAGTGAACTGACACTGACTCCCAAGGTGGAAAGAGATAGGAGATTTGATCCCCGTAGTACGAAAAAGCAAGGGGACAAGGGAGGAATGAGGAAAGCAGGTAACACAGAAGTCCTTGAGCCAGTCCTCAGGGACTGCCTACATACAACAGGTGGCACGGGATCACACACCGGAGAAACAAGATGTGGTCAATACCTTAGTTCAGACTTGTCAATCACAGCAACCTGCAGGAATGATCCAGAAGCAAACTGTGTCACAGCATACCCAGGGGAACGTACAAAACAACAGTGGACTGACATTCACACTTTCCCCTGTCCCTGCCCCCCAGCCTGGATGATGCACAAGATAAGCATGGGGACCAGTTCCCTGGGATCCCTGGCCCCCTTGAGACGGCGCAAAATATAGAAGAGATGAGCCAGCTGAGCCAGCTGAGCCAGGTATCCTGTGTAGTAGATCCAAAAGAGACACCAGAAGCCCGCCTTAAAGCACAAGCCTACCACAAACAGTAAATAGCAGTGGCCGAGGCTCTTCCAGTCCTAATGGGAAGAGGCGTGTGTTTGTGTTGTGTTCGTTCTCATAATTCGAGTCTTGGGCACTGGGCCTGTTTAAAAAAAAAAAAAAAAAAAAAAAAAAAAAAAA